TTTCTGTACATCAGTGAGCCTTACACATGATGGAATTATACGAAAATTCTTTGTGCTCAGCGTAAAGTATAAATCACGCGGATCCTCCTCTAAGCTAACGTCTACACATCGTTTCTGTTGCTCAAAAACATTGGTTGACCCGCTACTTAACGTTCCCTCGCCGGGCGAAAAGTTTAAGTAACGATGATATTCAAGAAGTAAGCCTCCGCACGTCCGTGTAGTTTGTAAATTCCAGATTCACCTTCATAAAAAGTCGACTTTTTATGCGATGAGCTTGAGTAAATTTGATATATACATATATAAACCTCAATCATAAGCCAAAGTAAGTCGATTCGAAGCTACGGATCGACTTAAAAAGATTTAAGGAAGGTTTTAGCACTGTTGCGTATTCCAGTTTCTTATTAGCCCTGATTATATACAATTTTAGTGGCGGGTCAAGGATGCATCCTTTGTCTACGTCAAGTCTATGCTTTATGTACGTATAGATCGTGGTAGCTTGTCAGACCTTCTCTAGGTCGTGCAGCAGGGCACTAAGTGGTGAGAAAATTTGCTATCGACATTCACATTTAACGCCTTTCGTTACAGGGTGATGGAGTATCAGAATAATTCTATAAAATGACCCCACCGATTACACAATATTTTACGAGCTTTACGAGCGCCTCATACTTATACCGATGACAGAACAATACATGTATACAGATGTAGAACGTACAGGTACTCTATCGTATTGCGTACATTGTATGTTGTTGAAAATGCGCAATCTACGTACGATTAATATTTAAGCCTGAAATACTGATATATTTGAGTTTAAAATTTGCAAACGTTGATCTGCATTATGGTGCAAAACATAGCAGGGTCAAATTTAGCTTTTACAGAGTGTTACTGATAAGATATGATCCAAGCCGTAACAAGAGATCAAACTTTGTCAATGTTAAACATACTATATATATGTGAATAAACTAGTCTGTAAGTACTTGTATACCGACAGGAGGGGTCAAAAATTTACTTAGTAGTCAATGAGTAGGTGCCATGTCTACAAATAGTGTAGAGCCTTATTATTGCAGCAGCATTGATTGATCTCAAATCGTTCAAAAACTGCTCACAATGGTAATTACCCCTTTGAGAGCGCATTTTTGCATTTTTGCGCGAAACAAAAAATGCTCGTTTTCGCTGTTATGACCCCAATATGTTGTTTGTATGGTGCAACATCAATTTAAGTTTCGAATTTGCAAGTATGCAACAATTAAAGCTTCGGCATTAGTGCAGAGAAAGTCAAGCTTTAACGATACATGTTCGGTTATTATTCGAGCACTTAAGGCTTCTCACAGCGGATTCTTTACTTTTTAGGTACCACGAACCAAGTGATTGAGCCAGAAGTTAGCCCTTACGCGATACCATAGGCGCTGACGGGTTTCAGTGCTTCGAAGTGATTCATGGCTGCTAGTGCACATGTACATCTCGTTCTGTATGTGATATCTTGTTTTAAAGTAAAGTGTGATTCATGTAGCTTATATGTTATGTAAACCATATCAGGTGTGATTCTGGTTCACGAAGGCCTATTTTAGTCCTATTTATCAGAGGTGTAGCCAATAATTGTATTGTTAAAATTTATTCTGGTGCTCTATATGTATATTCGAAAATATCATCAACAAGAGAGTTTCTGCAATTGACGAGTAAATGAGATAAGCACATTGCCAAGGGAGGGATGTGTCGTCGTATTTGTACCGTTTTTGCAGTAGCAGAGCGTATTTGGCTCTTAGCGCGATCGAGTTACATAATCAATTGGCACCGCCGCACAACATGACGCGCAAATGGTGAAGAAGTGAGGATTGTAGACAAAGAGCACAATAACTTTATGACACCAAAGACGCGGTGCGCCAAATGCTGCTGTTTGCTAACAGGAAATCAGGCTGCAAATGCGTATGGAGTGATTGCGTTATTGCTGACGTCGCACCTAGTTTGGAGCACGTGGTGCTGATAGTAACGGTATCATCCGCTTTTATTAAATTATTTGTCAGCAGAGAAGTCTACCATTTCACAGGCAAGCCTCCCGACAAAAATGGAGATTGTTAAAATTGCCGCCATCATTAGTGAAGTTGATTATGCATTCGAGGTTAAAGTGTACATTAATGAACAATTGCCACTACTTTGATGCGACTAGATCTACTGTAAATCTTGTGGGCCGATTGACGCCGATCATAAACTTCACTTGTTTAGTTGGATCGTCTATCTTTTCTTTTGCTATCGATCGGACCGCCCGCGCGGCAATAATAAACGAAGCGGCAAGAGTGTATTGACAAATGAGCCAATAATTATAGAGAGCGAAAGAGCAAGTGAAGGTCACCATGTACCATATAGACGTCATATGTCCAGCTTATACAGACACTACTTTCACAATTCACGCCAATCGGACAAATTGGCGAAGGCCATGCGTTTAGGCGTAGCGATTTAGTTTTGTATTGTGGTGGTAACACGTTTACAGTGGGGTGTTAATGATTTGTCAGCCGTTTGCGACTGAACGACGACTTTGATGTCCGCCAAAAAATTGCTGAAAAAATAAGGCCATTCGTGTCATCGGGGGTTCAAGCGTTGATCTATGCGCTATGCTCAGGCTTATAATTAACTCGCCATAGGCGTCGGAAAAAGGGAAGGAGTCCTGCTTGCTGCTTCCATCTTCCACACAGATAACTAAACATTTGATGCCTGAGATACTGATAAGTAACACTAAAAAAGGCAGCTTACGGAGCTTGCGAAGAATTTGAGATCGCACTTCACGCTCGGTCGGAAAAGTAGTAGCGAAAGCGTCAAGCTTGCATGGCGTAGGCGGCGTTGTGGTCATGACAGGTGTCAAGGCTGTCATTTGCAGCTTGGCTGCATGCCTTGGATGTCAGGTGATGTGTACACCGAGCGCCGATTTTGCGTCTGCATAAGCATGCTGCTTCAATGTATCGTTGCGAAAGCAAAGTCGCATGACGGTGGATTTTTTGCTAAAATAAAGCATCTTAGCATGCCCACGAGGATTTGATCTTCCCAAGTCGATACAAACCGGTACATCAGAGCGACCAGCCAGTACAAAGGTCTATAAAAGCGTTTGGGTGTTTTTTAGGAGTCGCTGGCTAGGTAATTACTACGCATTCATTCAAACCGATCCCACAATGAGCTAGATTGAGTAAGGGCATACGATTTTCTCAATTTTTATACCCGATCGGCGTCCTTGTATCGTGGCGCCTCCCACTGATACTGAAATTAGTATAAGCTACATACGCAGCAACCTTACGCACATCGGCGCTAATGAAGCAAAAATAATTGATGGGGACGGTTGCAACACGTCGAGCTGTACCCTTCTTTTGTTTTGGTAGGAAGTAGGATTACACACTGTCTTTTTGCTGACCATATTGGATAATGACTTTGTTGACTGATGAAATGGCCTATGTCAGCGTGTTGTCCACCTCGCGGCTGAACATCACCTCTGGGGCTAGAATGAGAATCCTAGCTCGTCGAAAACAATATACACATCGACATTTACTTAGAATTCAGCGTCGCGCAAGAGGCTCACCCCGTTTCATCGGCTGATCGTGGCCCGTTTATTCTTGCGAAGGAAGCTGAACTACGATATGCGCAGAAGTCAGGTCATCATGGCGAATTGTGATGGAGCACTGTCATCGAAAAAGGAGACACTGATCATTGTCTGCGTCGGTGCAGTTCCAACAGCACTCCAAACCATACGGATCCGGGTAAAGCGACGTGTCTCACTCCAACCACACGGAATTGGGTCAAGGGAACGTGTCTCACGCCAAAGGACGCGTAGCAGAATCATGCAACTCTACCTTAGAGGTAGAGTGCCTGTACAAGATGTCCAACGGTCAGTAATGTGCGAGGTGAAGTGTTCTGTCTTGGTGTCAGGAGATTCAGCTCGTTCGAGCCATGATGCTTCTTTGGATTGCTTCGTCCTGCGTTTTGTTCATGGCATTATTTATTGCATGCACGCTACAACACAACACTCCAACAAGTTGTCGCGGTCGCTATGGCATTGATCCTCTCCGTCCACCGAACGCAAAGTTTATCGGAGGGAGTACTGTGCGTGATTGAGCACATGTACGGTGCATACCTTACCCTCGAAATTCGGAACGAGCAAAGCTTTCTTGCACTCTCGCTGAATACGGAGAGTGTGACTAGAGAGAGCTGTGTGTTTCAAGCTTTGAAGTCAGCACGCCTCATGTCTATGCCGGCGCACGTTGTTGGGATCGGCGTAGATTGTCAAGGGTGCGCCCACTTCTGCTCACGAAAGCTGAAGCCTGCATGTTGCACACCTTGCATGAATCCGTCCAGTACAGGTACGACGAGGGGCTTCTCGTTTCGGTATGGGCTAAAAACCACACTCGTTCCAGCGCCTTCGTTCTGTCGTTAGGTAAAGTGCTGATGCACTCGAAACGCGACGGTTTTCGCTCGGCCGCATCGGGCCAATTGTCGCCAGAGCGCGATCAGATTCCTTGTCAGCATAGCGTTTCGTTCCGTCACTGTCGTGATTAGCAGAGCCCATGCAACGTGGCACTGGAATAGCACATGTACGTAAAACGCAGAACAGCCGGCAACGAAGCGCGCACGTGACATCATGCGGTCTACTCTCAAGCACCATAGGGTTCTCTGACAGCTTGTCAATACAGCAAACGTCGCAGCGGCGCGGAAGGCGCACGAATCCATATGTAGACATGGAGGGGTGCGGTTTGTGACTTAGGCGGTGCCATGACCGTTTCAAGCGTTAGTGTCGGCACTGTCGTGCGTCGCGTCCAGCGTGGCGACGGGTCAACGACGCACGATGGACCGGACCTCGTGCGTTCGTCTCCAATCGAGAAGAACTCGCCATCCTTGTCGCGTAGCCGAGCACTGGTGCGCACAGTTAAGCACCCAGACGACGACCATTCGATGTTGCTATCGCTTCCTGCCATTTTCAAACTTGCAGTCCATTGCACATTGCACCCGACCACCTCTCGATCAACAACATGCTACCGTCTCACGCCCCTACCGACTCCGTCATCGCTCTGGAAAACGTGCGCGGCACTGTTGTGGCCACTCGGAAGATCGCGGGACACACCGACTATGCCATCCGCGTACAGACCGACCGATACGGCGGCGAAGACCTCGTCTACCGCCGCTTCTCGTCCTTCCTGCAGCTGCAGCAGCTCGTGCGCCGCTACTTCCAAGAGCACGCCGCGTGCTGTGGCGGCGACAAGAGCTGCTTGCTCGCGTCTTGCCTCGAACGCGTGTTCGCAGACACTGAGTTCCCCGTGATGCAGGGCCGCCTACTCGGCAAGAACTCGAAGAGCGTTGTGCGCGAGCGCGTGCTGTTCCTCAATGCTTTCTTGCTCGAGCTCGAAGAGGCGCTCTGCAAGTGCCCGCCTTTGGTCATGGCTCGTTGTGAGACGCAGGGCTGCAAGGTCACCACGTTACTAAAGAGCTTCTACGGCTGCCTCGGCGTGCCGGGTGACGACTCCATCTAAGCGGGCGCTCACCTATCCGAATGATTCGACTGCAGACGAGTTCGCTCGTGCGCCTGCGACGTCCCGACAGGAGCGCTCGACTTTTTACGCATCACAATCGGTGCGCGTTTTCATATAGAGGTCAGTTAGCTACGCAGCGGCACGTCCGATCGAAGGAAGTGCCACACTAGAGCTGCGTAGCTTCACCATATTTACAACTTGTGCGGTCGGCCGAGAAGCGAGTTCAGCTTCAACTACGTCAACGACTATTTTTCACGCAGCAAGAATGTCAGCAGCTATATAAGACGACCCACTCAACACGATCGAAGCAATTAATCTGACCATCTTGATGGGCACTCTATGTCACAGCTTGCACCTTGGGATCGTCGTCACTGCAGAAGACAACAACAATCACCGCGATGACAGCCACGGGAAAAAGTAGTTGGCCCAATGTCAGCAGTAAGAAGTAGAAGAAGAGAAGAAGAGAAGAAGGGAGAAGAAAAAAGCAGCAGTAGCAGCCAAAACTTACTGCGGCTGCTGTCGATCCACGAAAGGCCGTAAAGTCGGCTGTCGAGTCCTCGTCCTCGACCGCTGCAGTGTCGAGTCATGTTTGCGACAGCGCATGATCGGTGTGGCCATTGGTAGAGCTATACAGCTGACTGTTGCCCCTTGCACGGCCACGTCGACGGTGTTCTTCCAGCCCGCGACAGTTGCAAACGCCTGGTTTATGCATGTTTCCAGGTGTGAAACAGACACGTGGACGCAATTGCATGCCACTTCTAGCAACGCTTGGAAGTTGCAGTACCGCGAACAGGTTGTAGCTGTAGATGGCGCGGCAGACGCTCTGCGACTCGCACGCGTGTCAAGCGACAGCGCCCATTCGTTAGACAGGACAAGGTGGGCACTTGTCGTGCCACGGATGCTGACGCAGGCTTGTGAACAAACAAAAGGTGCAAAGTGTGACCGACCAAACGGCAAAAAGCAAAGCATGTATGGACTCATTAGGTTTGTGGCGCCTTCGCCGTTCACAATTCTTCATGGCCTGTGCTGCGACACAATGTGTTCGAACAGTTAGACCAAGAGCGTACACGATCGCGTCTCCATTATGCGGTATACTTGGCCTTGTCTGCAGGATCAGGTAGAGGGGTCAGCCATGGAAGACGAAAAGACGAATCCGGCGTCATCCAGTCGCCCGACGCGGCAACGCTTGCATGTGTCCCTGTACGAAAAGTTCTATGTCTCGAGGAAATGGGCAGTCAGCTCATCGTGCATTAGAACAAACAAGGTAACGAAATAGTACGTGGTTGCCTTGGATGGACAGACGAGTGGTGAGAACAGATCCTCTAACGGCGACAGACAAAAAGCCACACATACGCACACACAAATGCGACGAACGTACCGCAATTCGTGCACTTCCAGTCCCCCTGCAGAGTAAAGCTCACATGCTTAAACAGCGTTCTACCAACAGGCGAAACAAACAAGCCACAAACTTCTTTACCGGCCACCAGTCCATGTGCGGCGCCACCTTTTTCGTAAGCGAAGACTTCAACTAGGAGTCATTCACAAGTACCACGAACGTGAGCCCTCAACTGACGCTCATCACACATCCCAACTTGGGTTGGTACAGCACTTACCATCTGAATGAGATCGCTCGAGTCTGCGGCTTGTCGTGGATAAAATGTAGGCGTTGTGGCCGAGAGACCAAAGATTTGGCCATAGTTTAGCGCGTTCTCTGACTTCTTGTCTGCCTCCGTATCATTTCGATGCATGATCGCATTCGCCTTCTCTTCCGCTGCCTCTGCTTTCCTACAATGGCATACCACGAGTGTCAACTGACCAAAGCACTGCCGACCGCGCCAGCAACCGAAAATAAAAGAAGAGACATACTGCTCGGACAGCGGACCACGCAGAGGGATGTGTGGTAGCCCGTAGTACTTCTTCAACGTGCGTGTCGGCCGCTCAACCGCCATCTCCTTCATTCTCTGCACCGCTCGCTGCAACTCGCACTCCTCCGGAGTGCACTTGCTCGTCAAGGCGTGCGCCCGTCTTTTCGCGAACGTCGCCGACTCTGCTTTCCCGTAACTTTCCGCTGCCAATGCCGTCAGCTCCTCTGGCGTGACGCTCCAGATAGAGCGCTCCAGCGCGAGGCAATGCACGCGACAATGGACGTCGGCGCACACAGTGGCGACCAACGTCACTTCCTGCGTCTTCCACGTCCAAAAGCACAGCTGCGCCTTTCTCTGTCGTGCAATCGGCACGCGTCCCGAGACCTGCCGCTGTTTCCTGCAGTGGCTTCTTGACCGCATCCTCGAGAAGAGGCAACTGCAGCTGCGAGTGGCTCTACACAGTCACAGCCACAAACACAGTGAGCAGTCGCAGAGAGTGTCGTTGTCCGTCGTATGGAAGCACAAAAATAGACACTCGACGACGACGACGTCGAGCGAGTTGGCGGCTGTCACCTGAGTCCCTGTCGCGCGCGTCTCAGTGTGTGGCCGTATCGGCAGCTGCATGACCGCGTTCTTCGTCTTCTTTGTCTCGGATGGCCCTCGCAGAGACGGACTGCTCGCGCCCCTCGGAGGCACTGGAGGCAGCGGAGGAAACACAGGCAGAGCAGAAGACCCGACGGCCGAGTCGGACGGGACAGAACTGCGCGCGGTCGTCTGCATGGGAGGGCGCAAGTTGAAGTGAGACCATCACTCTGTCATGCGTTCGTGGGGCTGGGGCCTCGGTGGCGGTACACTGTACCACTTGCCTCCCAATGTCGCTGCTGTGGCGAGCGAGCGCGCGCGTGCGGCCCCGTCCTCGGGCGCTCCGCCGCCTCGTTGCGTGCCCGTTCTGGACCCCACACGCGATGCCTGTACCGCCGAAGACCACGTGTCGAGGGTCTGTGCGTGTCGTGCACATAGATCGAGCCAAAGGGGAGACGGTAGAGCCTGTGCTTGACGGTGCAGCAGCTCGAGAGACGTCGAAAAAGAGCGTTGCAACACGTGAAGCTGCAACGGAGCGGACAAGTGACCTGCTGCATCGTGTTGTGGACACTAAGACAACGTACCAAGTGGCCCTGAGGGCGTTCAATACGCTGCGCTCGCGCGGGTTGAAGCTGGAAGAGAGTCTGTACCTGTCGCTGCTGTACAAAGCGCTGCGCGAGGGCCGCTTCGAGCGAGTGTGGGATGGCTACAGTGAGTTCCTGGACGACGAGAGGAAGAGACAAGTGCAGGAAAAGCCGAGGGCGCCTACCACGTGGCCTAGCGTCACGAGCAGGAGGATGCAGATGCACCGGTTCGTGCTCTGGGCAATGCTCGACGCAAACCGCCAGCAAGAGATGGCACCGTTCTACCGGAGCGAAGTTGTCGGCAAATGCAACATGGCCGGCATCCACGAGGCGGACTCGTTCAACTTTTTGCTACGGTTGGAGTGCACGACGAGAGTCATGGACGAAACGGATGACGGACTGCGACGACGAGTGGACTCGCTGCTTCATGCGATGGAGCGCCTGGCCCTGCGCACAAGTTACTCGTCTACTCATTCTCTTGTGAGGCTTATTTTGCATCGTCCGGAAATATTCTTTGCTGCGCCAACGGATCGCCAGCAGGGCGAAAGCGACGAGGAAGCTGCTCCAGATACGGGCTACACGGCCAAAGCAATGGGAGACCTTATACTCGAGTACATGGATCGATTCCCACGTGCGCTTTCGTTGGATCCGAAACGGCTTTCGATTGCAGTGAGTGCTGCCGCTGCAGCAGGTCGACATGATGCTGCTAAGATGCTTCTCCAGCACGGAGTGAGACACCACGTTCCAATCGATGCAGGGTCGTTTGCCCATGCGGTAGAGAGTGCGCCTGATGATGCTGGTCGCATGGAGATCGCAGATCTGTACGTACACGCCAAGGAGCAAGAGTGCATTTACACAGCTCAGGACACGGACGGTAGTATCGTCAACTACCTGTTGCTCTACGCCATCCTCGATGGCAACTTCAAGCACATGATGGAACTTTTGCACGAGATGCAGCTGTGTAACAACCGAAGTAGCAACCGCACGATTGGTGAGCTTTTCAAAAGTATCGCACAATACCGGGCGGAGATTCAGCGAGGGAAGTCAAAAGCCGGTACCGACAAGAAACTAGGCAAGTGTCCAACAATCATGGAGCTATTCCAGAAGTTCCCGAACGTCATCCCGTACACCACGTACTCACTTTCCCAAGGTATCCTGCAAAGTTTGCACGCTGGAGATCTGGCCATAGCCCTTGAACTTATGCATGCAGCTGTCAGGCGTAAGGGTGTCAAGCTGCGTCCTGAGATCTACTCTCAGCTCCTGTACCCTTTGCTTGCATCCAGACAGCGAGAGGGGGACGAAGCTAGCGACGTCAGTATTTTTGACCGTCTAGAAGTCGAGCGGTGTTTCGATGAGCAGTACCCGAATCAGCGTGTGCACCTGAACTCGCTGATAGTGAATATTTGCGAGTCGAATGAGGACATCTCTACGATGCTGGTGTGTCTGGACCGCTGGCAGGAACAGGGACACGCACCGATGAGTCGACGAGTGACAAATCGCGTATTTGACGTGATCTCGAAGCAGGTCCAGCAGTTTCGGAAACAACATCATGCAGCTACGCCTCGCACTGCGTTCGTTCTCGACGGGTTGCAGCTGTCGCACGAGGCTTTTCTCGTGCGATATCGCTCGATCATCACTTGGGATGCCTGGACATTCGGGCGTGCAATCGTTCGCGCTCGTACTTGCGGCTTGCACGCCGACGTGATCGCACTGCTGGCGCAGGCGACCTCGCAAGGTCTAGTGCTAAACGCTGTTGCCTACGTCGTATCGCTCTGCGTTCTGGAAGAGGTCGGCGATAAGTGTGCAATCTTGGCATGCGTGGAGACGATGAAGGTGAACAATGTGTGGACAAAAGCTGTCGAGAAGTACCCGAGCGCGCAGAAGGTCTTGGACCGAGCCATAGGTGCAGGACAGCTAGACGAGTCGACCGACTAGGGAAAGTCGACTCGCCCACCATTTTGAATGGACAGGACATTATTCGGTTTGATCCCACTTCAAGTTGCGCAGCTCCTTCGAGTGTCTCCGCTATCTGAGCTGTATCCAAATCTCCCGAGTCAGCGCGTGTTTGGCTCAATGGATCAGTTCCACTTCGAGCCCATGCTGCAGGAAAGACAAGCGGAAGAAGCGAAACGCGCCCGTCAGCGCGAACATGTCAAGAACAGCTACTACCGACAGCAGGCAAGCGCGCACCTGCCGTCGAGACGTCGGGCGCATCCGCTAACGTGTCTACATCCTGTTGCGATTTGTACTTGTTAGAACGCGATGAAGGCTTTGCGTCGCGAGGTCTGCAAGCTGGAGCAGGAATACTCACGCACGGTCGACCGTAAGAAGCAGCAGCTGCAGTGGCGCGAAGTGGCCGAGGCGCTGGGATGCGACGCAGCGCGGGAGACCTCGGACGACCTCGTGGAGCAGTACATGCAGCTGTCCCTCACGAAGCAGCGACTCTGCCAAGAGAACCAGCAGCTGGCGCTCATGGCCTCGGAGCACGTCAAGTTCCAGCTCAAGACGCAGCACATACTGGACTCGAAGCCCGAGCCGACCGTCGGGCCGCTTTCGATCGCGGCCAATGCCCGTGACGGGGCGGTCAAGGAGGTCCTGGACGAGGGAGATGGACAAAGGGACGTGCTGTGTGCAACAGGGCTTTGCCACTCACCATCCCCGGTGAACGAGGTGGCCTTCGAGCCCCTCTCAGTTTCCGAGTGCCATCAGATTGCGCTACACGCGTACCGAGACGCCCGGGCTTTCTCGAACAGTAACGACTACCTGACCACTGGTCTCGAGCTCTTCGGGTGGCGCGAACAGCGGCGCGAGGCGCCCGATCATGTCAAGTTCACGCTCAAAAAGCGCTTTCCCGGCGTCACTCCAATGAAAATGTCAGCTCGTGGTTGGCGCGTGGTATCGTCGCCGCGAGGGTTGGCAGGTCTCTACTCGTCCACGATGCACTTGTCCATTAAGGTGCTCCAGGTCGTGGACGATTACAATGTGATCATGTACCGTGTCATCACAAACACGAGCACAATGGCTACTGTCCAGTCATTGTTCCTCGTCACACGCTTCCAAGTTGGAAACGGGTATGTCATCCTATTTCGCTCCGTGGATCGCAATCGATTGCGAAAGAGTCGATCAGACGGCACCGTCGGACCTTGGGATGCACGGGGCGGAGAAAGCGCACAAGTAAAGTGGCTCGACATGTTCACATGGTGCGTCAGCTGTCTGTATTGACGAGCGTTTTGCCTTACCTGCGCGATGATTGACCAAGTTGTTATGCGCAGGACGTTGTTCGATGACGATTCAGAAGACGACAATGCCGTGACTTTCAGTTACGGCGGGATTGTGTACGGCACTGAGGCTGCTGGCACGCGTGTGTGGATGCTTGAGATCTTGTCGCTTGCCTTGCGATGGGAAAACAAGGTCATGGGGCCTACCTTGATGCTGAGCGAGTGACGCCCCACATGTGACAAACAACTTGACTGGTGCGTGTGTAAGAACGACTTCGTTGGTTCAGCTTGGCCGGACCACTTAAAGCTCTTTGAGCAAGCCACTAGAATCATCCGCCACGGTGCCCGTGTCTTCGTGAGGCTTCCAACTTCTGCCTGTATGAACGCCTGTGACAAGATCTGAAAAGCTTCGTCAAGCTGCGAGTCCAGTCACCTGTGTAGCTTGTCACGCTCGATCGCTTGCGAGATGCACATGCCGCCCGTAAAGCTCAACAAGCTCTTGTCGGGCAGCCCGAGCGCAGGTGGTAATGGTGAGACTTGCATCACCTTCCCGTAACGCGTGCAGGCCTGATATGTTAAGGTTGTCGTCGTGCATATCGCACACCCCTCTAATCCTCACATTGCGTGTCCACTGTCGCAGACAACAGCTTGCTGTCTTCACACTGCAGAAAGCGATCGACCGTAGCAGGAACAGCGAAAGCGGACGCAGCATCTACGGCTTGAACGGATAGGTCCGTCAGGGCCTCACCCGAAGAAGACGCATGTACAACATGACATTGACATCGCCATCCCAACATGCTCTGCACCGCAAACATCAGGTCGAAGGTCGCACATGCGATGCTGAAGCGCTCCAGTCTCATCGAACGGAGCGCGTGCCACCAGCACGCAACCGCAGCTATGCACCATGATCACTGCCGGTCATAGTCACTGTCGCGGTATAGAAGTAGCAGTGACTACCGCATACGTGCGACGGCCTGACAGCGTTTAAACCTCAGCTGATAATCGGAACGTCAATGCGCTTCGTGGTTTCAGGCGGAACGCACATTTCAGCTTCTTCGGAGCTTGCTGCCGACGTTCGTGGCGCAGGTTGAGATGTAGATCATGGATGTAAGGAAACTGCGTTGTAGGTGCTTTTATTTAATGGACGCTTTTAGTATCGATTCCTCAATTATAGCGATTATACTACAATGTTATAGCAATACTATTTAGTCGGATTAATTGGTAACTTGTAAAATTACTTTTGGTGATTGCCCCAAAAAGAGCCTTAAAGGTTTTCGGGAAATGGAAAGAGACGTTTCTCGCAGCTGCTGCATCGAGCACAAACTATTCGTGGGTCATGTTCGATCGTTACAAAGATGCCATATGCTCGCCTTAGGTCATTCTTGTATTACTAAACCACAACCAACTTGTAAAAGTAGGCGTCGCCTCTTCATCCCCGTACGCCTTTTACCACGCTCACATTGCTTGCCACGTTAAGACACGGTCAGGTTCATCTTCGATTATCTTCGAGCTCGAGTTGAGCCCAGCATCTCGACAGTTTGGAAGCACGATACAAATTGTGACATTTAGTTTGGACAAGATATACATATGAGTGTATTCTAATCTATATGTGCAACCGCATGTAACCACATGCTACAAATGACTGGTCGCATTACCAAAAGATGGGCAGCGTCTCATTGACCGGTTATGTGACAGTTCTAACTTGTTGCACCAATTTTCGAACCAGCAGACTATCCATTTCACGGATAAAACGAGCAATGAAGTTAATTTAAGAAGTATGCTGTAACGGAGAATCCTATTACACCACGTTGACATCAACAATCGGTCCAAGAGAATATTATCGATATAAATAATCGATACAACATTCACCTTGCAAAGCCGATATCGAAAAATATTACCTGCGGTGGTAATATTCGACGCTGCCCCACTCATTAGTTATTGTAGGCCTACACCATGTGGCTTAACTGAAACACGCATTGTCGCTCGGCGCACGCAAAGACTTGTAAGCAGGTAGCTACATTCGAGAGTTGTAGTATAGGGCATTTAATTTAGCAAAAGCATCATCAAAGATATTTATTACTCCATATATTTTACAGAAACTCAAAAATAAATTACATGCAGTTCGTCTTCTTCCTCTACAATGTGTGTTCGTTGGGTAGGCTCACCTATCTCGGCACGTACCGTAAACGTGATGTTACGAGGCATCTACTTAGACTGTGGTCAGTGCCATTATGGCGATACAAGCTTTAGGTTCCTCGTTACTTCTGGTAGCTCTTTTCAGGCTGGGCAACGACCGCGGATACACCATTTAACATGAACATTCCGGATGATGAACGGATTAGTGCATATCAACGCGTGATGAGTTCACCCGTTTTATAGTAAAAAGGAGGCGGTAGAAGAACGAATAAGTATTACCGTAGTTGGACCTGATATCAACGTCATGATGTTCACTCTGAAAGGAGACGAGCAATATGCTGCTTACTTCGTCAAGCATGAACTAGATGCGTCGCAAAAGAAAGTAATCTTGCGATACTAGAACTAAAACGAATTGATGGAGCGTTTGGAAGAACAGGGTGTCCAACATGCCGAGCCATTGGGAAAAGTGGGTGATCAGACATTCAAACTATTGAGAGTAAATAGATTTGGGCTGCTGGTACAGGGCCGATGCACATGCGTCGACTTGAAACCCTGCATCCATTTCTAAGTGCAAGTGCAAGAAAGTCGATGTGTACTTCTTGTCACGATAATTGGTCAAGATGAACGGAATGAGGCTCATCGCTTCTCCGACGAGATAACGTGAGTCGCATTTGCCCAGGCTCACTTCGCCCGACATGCTACACGTTGGGCAGTATGTCTCGCTATCCACTGCCCATTTGCGACGAAGTCGCTGACAATCGAGAAAAATTGGATCATACAAATCTTCTGATCGCCATAGGATGACTTCACAGCCAAAGTCGATGACACTAATGGCCACACGGGCATCGGCCAAAACGGAAAAAATATCGATAGAAGGTAGTATACGCCTCGAAAAGAGAACCTCTAATGACGGAACATAGATGTGTTTTCGGGATCCAGGGGACATGTTAAGCCGATAAATGATCGACCGACCGAAAGATACAAATCGATAGCGGTTATAAATGAAGCGCAGAACAGCCAAAATTAGTAGCAGATACCGACATCTCAATGTAGATTGATAGCTATGTAGTGTATATAATACGCAGCCATTTACGTTGACGGGATACGGTAAGGGTAATGCCAGCCGACTGCAAACAATCGCGCTTTCGATATGATAAATCGCCTGATCTTAAGCATAGAGAAAAGAAATCGCTGGGATAAGCGGAGACCATGTATGTCAGCCAGCAGACATCTGTACAGAAGGAAAGGACCTAACACTTTGTCTGGGGTAGCAAGGTAAAATTGTTGACGCAGTGGACATTTGAAGCGGTGGTATAATAAAAAGCAAAATCAGGCACTGGTAATGAAGATTCTTGATGTTCGCAGGTAAAATCCATAAAATGACCGGGCAGGGAAGTGCACATCAAAGCTTCCACGATAAAAGCCACTAGGTCGAGAGCAACCGTAAAATTTGAATCGGTTGGTGACGATCAAAGGACATAATAGGTCGAGTTCACGGGCTAGAACATGGCCGATTGGCAAGACCCTTGTAAGCGGAATGGATGCAGTGCTTGAGAGCAAAAAAGTCGAGCTCACCATGAAAGCCATATGCTCGTGAGGGAAATAATGCGCTGCTGATGGAGGGATAAGCCTAGCTGTTGATTACGTACTCCTACTTGGATAGGTCAAATATAGCTAAACTCGCGGGAAAAGTAAGGCGGAAAAGTGTGGTCAGGCTCGGACCGTCGGTAGAGCACGTACTTTGCAGCAGCCGCTGCTAGCGAACGATCATCTTCGAATTCTCGGGATGAGTCTCAAAGTATCACAGGATTAAGAAAATGACGGCGGTGACGAGGGTAATCCGTTTATAAGGGCAAGAATGTGGTACCGAATATAAATGCTTGTACTGATTAAATTGTGAAATATCGTATCCTTTACTTGTAGTGACACAGTGAAATTAATTTCATTGACGCGGTGTAGACAGTCTCGAAGTATCACGTTCACTTGCAAAGGAAGGGTTTATTTCGTAAAATGGCGCTTACAAAAATAAAAAAGTGGAGATATAGTACCATACAATTTAAGTTTTCAAAAAGATTTGTATTTGGTCTTTCTAAAACTATGCTAAACGACGAAGTCAAACGTAGCTACCCTCTTACCACCCATTAAGCGAGTTCAGCAGCGATAAGTGGTAGACGTGGTTCATATACAGGTCTGTATCGATAAATTGTTTTGGAGCGGAGCTGATTGTGTTATAAAGCGTAAACCTTTCTTATACTTGCTTATCGAGGTAAACGAAGGTGAATATGATCGAATATCATACTGTTTCAGTGGACCAAATCTGGTGCTAATGGCATTAGACGGGCTAACCTCGGTACTCTTTGCATGTCGCTCACTATGACGCGTCTATGTATTTTGCTTTGACTGATGCCTTTGATTGAAGCGAGCGAGCTTTTGCATCCTTTTAAACTATGCACTTGCATGTTAGCCACAATGAACATGCTATTTTATGAGGCCGTGCCATTTCGCTACCAGGCCTCGCTATTGGTCACTTCGGATAAGTGACAACGTCACCTGACCTCGTACTCGACATTAGCCGGATAAGCGCACCTCACGTCAAGAAACCGAATGTTGCGTGAGATTCTTATTACTATCGATATCGGTTACAAGCTACGGCCTAGTGGTTGAGGTTCAACCGGAGCCTTATTCGTCAGCCTTCATTATACTCTTTACCGATCTTGCACAAAAAGATGATGTCTTTGCATAGCGTTCTTTTGCGGCTAGCAGGCTGAGATACTATTAGAGCCGACGAGATGGAGATATCGTAGTATACGAGACCAAAGTGTATCGCTAGGATGCTGGTAGTAGACACTACTAGGATAATCTTCTTCGTCTTTTTGCTTTATAGTCATTGCCGTGTCAAGCGAGCGCTCGCTACAGCTGACAACAATATGACATTGCGATTGGGGCAGTGTAATTTTGGTGTTGGGACGCCGCTCGGCCTGCAATGCATTCGTCGTCTCATAAGATCTCGAGACATCGATGAATGTCCAGATTGACGAGCTCCAACAATCAAAAATTAATGGAACATGCACAAGAAAGACGTCGCCTTTTCGTGGCTATCTTTGCGTCGGGCGTGGTTTGCATACTCGTGGACGAACGATGTGTATAGCTTGTGCAATTGTTCCGGCATAGTGCGCTTTACTGGCAGGCGTAGCTGTTATGGGCAGTAACTGCTGGTTTGCCTTGTGTACACTCGTCAGAAAAAGAGCGCTGAGTCGAAAACAACTGTAGCTGAGAGCTGCTAAATTTCCTCATAGTTACATTGACTTGTAGTGGATCACACCATTCACTCAACATGCGCGTCAAAACCAGTCGTACACAAGACACTCCTCAATACGTAATTCGAATAGCGCGTGCGAAGAGCTCTGCTTGTCGATGGCGACAGAAAAGACAGAGACAGACTGCCTCGGGTAAGTCGCGCTCCTTTTCACGTCGTTGCGGTCATTTCTAATCCATACACACACACACACACTGCTTGCTGGCTACTGCAAAGCTGTCGCCTCACTGGTTCCCTCACCCTGCTGGGCGTAGGAGCCTACTTGTTCAACGAGGTGCGTCACGATCTCGTCCGTCCAGGCACATAGTTCACCAGTGCTGAGTAGACTTTGCTGTGCCAACAGCGTACGAAGGTACCGACACACGACCTGAGACACCGGCGCTGGTTACTCGCTTGCGCCGGCACATTCGCCACCACAGGAGTTTGGCGAGCGGTGGGCCACTTGGTCGGGACCCCACGAGAGTCGTCCACTGATGGCTGACGAGTCATCGAGAGGCTACAGCGTGGACATACCACAAGGACTGCTGTCAACACGGCCACTGGCGTCTGGCTGGCTCAGCATTCCCGACGAGCTCCAGCAGCAAGATCGACGTCCTGTCGACGATGATAAATAGCGTCCATGTATCTCTTTTTATAGTGATTGCCTCGTTCACGGTGTTCCCCTTCGCTACAATTGCTGCGGCGAGGCTTCGTATGGTACAGCTCAAGTACAAGATAAAGCCTACACATGCAGACACAAAGACGAGGAGTGATGCGCTCGCCTCCACCGCCCGCGTTCGAGCAGAAACCTGCCTCACAGAAGAATACACTTTTCCCGTCGCCCGGTCCGCTCGCACAATGATTGCATGCGCATCGAGCTACTCGTGCGAACGAGCATGTAATACATGAAGACCCTGCTACCGCAAGAACCCGCCTCCGTCCACCGCAATCACACCCATGGCTGAGGATGGTATCATGACAGCGGCAGGAGGCTGCAGTGCAAACTAGCAGGATTGTGCATGCGGTCGTGGATCATGGACACGGACACAAACACCTGCGGCAATCACGAAACAACCAGCAGAGAGTTAGTGTCGGTCGGAAACAATCAAGTCAAACACGCCGCACCTTTCGATCGCCAGTGCTGGAGAAGTGCCACATCATCTTGCTCTGCGCCGACGCCGTCTCACACGAGAGAATCTTGCTCACAAGGGTGTACATCTTCGGCGCATCCATGGCCGTACACATTGTGTACAGGCTGTGCAGCCGAAGCTCATCAATGTTCTTGCAGCACAGCTCCAAAAACAGCGCGTTCGCCTCGACGATCGTGCCATCGAGTTTCGCCAGAAGACTGGGCATGCTACTGCTGGCGAAAACGTCTCGGTACGAAGCCGACGAGCCTTCGATCTCAGTAGCGCCAGCGCTTGAGGCGCCGTTCGTAGCACTGCCATACATGTTGTCCATGTTCATAGGGTACGAGGTCTGCGGCTGCATGCCTCGTATGGACAGCGCTGGTACTGGCGACGGCATGCTATCGATCATAAACACTTGGCCTTTGCTGTCGACGTGGCTGGGCGACGGTGCCGTGATGGACAGCCGACCCGCTGACTCGCTGCACGGAGACACGAGATGACGCGGAACGCCGCCCGAATGAGGCGACGCGTGCTGCATCGAGTGCTGCATCTGCGACTGCGACGCCACCCCGCCAAGCTGGTTGCGCTCGAGGTTCGCGATGTACTCGAGTGTGGCTTGGAGCACGCTGTACTTGTCCTTCTTCGACGACGAGTAGCCTGCGGCCTCGAGTTTGTTGCGCAGGATGTCGAACTGGTTGCTGATGCGCAGGATCCGTCGCTGCTCGCGCAGATTGTGGCGCTGCTTCTTGCTCAGGTCGCCACTGCCGCCGCCACTGGACGAGTACCCGCCAGGCGTCATGGGGTACGGACTCTCACAGGACGTGGCGTCGCCATTGGTGCCGAGGGACGACGTCAACGGGTTCTGGTCAATGAGATTGAGTTTGATGTGCATCGGCGGGTACTGCGGCTGCTCGACCTTGGGGGAGATGGTGCTGTAGGCGATCTCGAGGGCCAACGCGTCCTTCAGCGGCGGGCGCCCGTCGGCCATCGAGGCCGGGGTCGTCATGGCGGCTGAAGCAGAGGCTGCTGCGGCTGCTGCACCGCCAGCGGCCGCGGGCGTGGAAGGGGAGAACGCCACGGCGCCGCCGTGTCGAGGAGAGGCGACAGCTGCGTACGGGAGTTGCGGGTGCTGCTGCTGCGGGTGCTGCTGTGACGCCATTGAGCTACATCGTGAACGAGACAAAAGCAAAAGACCGAAGCGTGAGTGCCGATGGGTAAGTCAGACGACCAGTGTCTCCTCGCGGCACACAATGACTGCGCGACGCATGCGTACGTGGGGGGCAGCTGCGGAGGGCGGAAGGAAGCTCGCTTTGTGAGCCCAGTCTCGTCCCCGCAGGCCAGTGTACTACTTCATATTGTTACGTTTCTCGGGCTGTCCCGCTTCTACCGAGGCTGGTCACTCGAGCCCGAGTCAAGTGAGACATGGGATACTCTATCGAAGAGAGGTCGTCGACCTGCTGGATTTGCAAAAGCTGATCCGGACCCGCATTTTCGATGGAGGGTCGAGCGAAAAAGCATCAAACGTTGGACGGACTATGCAGTCTGTGCAGACTATGATGACCTCGCGCGACAACGTCCCAGCGCGCGCCGAGAAGAAAGCGCCTGCAGAAAAAACCAATTGGATTGCGGGACGACCCATCGATGATGACGCCGCATCAAGCGGCGGTCCCATCTCTCTCTTCGATCGGAGCCATGCGCAAGCTCAACTTGCATAAAACAAGAGCGAGAGCGAGCGACGAATAAGGCGCTGCGAAGGTGAGCGGGCACATGTGTCGCGTCTGTGCGACTTCAGGATAGACCTGATTCTACTTCCGTTTCGGTCCTTATTCTATCTCTGCCGGTCGACTCCGTTTGTAGCGCGCCATGTGCCCGGAGTTGTCACAAGACCCACGTTGTCAAAGTCCGCATAAAGTTGAGGCAATCAGCTTATGCTGTGGGAAACGACGGAGAACGTTGCAGGAAGAAGAAGAAGAAGAAGAGCTTACCATCACTAAAGAACATTAGCGTCTACGAAGGGGTTTTACCAATGAGTCAGGTACCATTGATGCTTCAGGGTAACTAACTAGCAACGAACCATACACAAATGATGTCACGCATCGCGCTACTTCAGCTCAGTCGCGACACGATCGGCACACTATCTGCACTGATCCGTGCGGACCTGGTCCTATTGCTCCATATCTGTGGTCGTGCCGGTCGGCGTCGTAGTGGCCATATGATCGATCGCCACGTATCCGCACTACACGCACTGCCATTTTTAGGCCGTTCGGGAGCGAAAACGACCTACAGCGCTATGCATAAGGCGTCTCGCCCGTGCGTCACACTGCGATTGTGCACGCGCTTGAGAGGGACTGACACCCGCTCGTGTCCTTCTGATTACGCGACTGTTGCTGCACTGCGCGAACAATCGCTGTGCGCGCTGCACATCCGTTGACCGGACTATCGGAGTGTCGCACGCGGTCAGCAAAAGATTGCGGGCGAAGGACGTCGTGGAGCCGCCGTACCCGCTCGGCCTTTCTCCTACCGCCTATCGCATCCGTGCAGCACACGGTCAGTTGCGTGCGTCCATCAAAGCGACGCGCGGGTGTGCAGCACGTGGATCGGCTGACGGACGCAAACAATTACCGCTCCATCGCTTTCGGGTCATAGTCACGACTCGCACGGTTCGTGGCTGCGAGTTTTCGGCGGTCTGCGCTCCGTCTTGTCCTAAGCGGCGCCACTTTGTGCACCTTACGTCACGCTTCGCAGTAACGATTCGATGGGCGGCGCTCGCACTGCATTGTCTTGTGCCGGGTCCGTGGTTTGTCGACAGCAGTGGCCACAACTATGGCACGCCCAGCGCTCACTAATCATCATTTCGACACATGCGTGCATCCTCGTAAGGTACGCCCTGTTCGCCAATTGCGGCGAGGACGGGTCGAAGGGGAAGCAGCTTTGCAGACTGGACAGACGTGCCACTCGAGCGCATGATCAAGGTTAGCCGCGACGTTGACTCGAGTAGTTTTAGAGGGTGTGAGTGTCGCGTTCTAGTAGAGACGGTAGCTCTATGCAAGAAGACTTCGACAGATAGTCGAGATGGACGTTGACACATACGGATGCAATGCTAGACTTCGCCCCCATTCGATGAATGTCATGGAACGTCGGATATCGGCGTCGCGACTGTGAGTGACGGCAGCGATCTGTTCGACTTCAACCCAACTGCTGGGCCGATAGTGGATGTAATAATGGACAGAGTACAGAACTCGAGATGCTGGCGATACTGGAAGAGATTGTGCGGCGGGGGTGCGTTCGATAAAGCGAGAAGCTGTTTGGGCAACTCAGAGTGCAGGACTGTAGCGCCTCGAGGAGGGGACAAACCAGCGCATTTTGCTGAGAAGCGACGTCGATGGAATAGGGTAGTGCTTGTCGATGAGAAAATGTTGAAGGGAAACGACGGTGGTGTCGTGAGCCAGTTGGGCAAGACGCATGCGGGGCCATGCCATCTGCGTATTACATGTGTCGAGGACTCTGTTCTACAAGCACAGGTTTAATTTATAAATCGCGCATACTGGATGAGCGCTGTCGTGGTAATAGGGCTCGCCAATTGTCACTTTGCGTGTAAAACCCACACAGTGTATCTGGATGTATGCCATAAGGTTCTCGCACTGCTTTTCAGTGGACTCAACAACATGGCACAAAGGAGATCTTACGTATGATCCGCAAAAGTAGATACCACACACCCGCGTATGGCCAGCAACATACAGGCAACGGCATGGGCCGACCGGCTACGTGTAGACAAAGATATCCTTACTCTGCGTATTGATGTTATGCTCGTTGCCATTTCATATTTTTTGCGAAGGAGAGAGCAACTAACATGTTTCGACAACTGGTCCTCTGCCATTTGCAGTGGACGATGGTACGGACATTCTTGACGCTCAAGGACCGACCTCGATGAGGTCCTATTCTGCAACGGGGTTACACGTCGACTGGTAGTCGACAATAGGTGTGGTGCACACAAGGGATGGGATCCCCCTTTAAATTAATATTAGAACACAGTATCAATTGTTGAAGACTGATGTCTGTCATCAATTGATTTCGAGATCTTTTAAGAGGTTATTTAGGGCAGGTTAAATACGTTGTTCTAAGGTGTTCTTTTAGGTTTAGTAAAGAAATAAAAATTCAGTTCCCCTTTTGATCACTGAAAGACACGTGCCTTACGAGGCGTCTTTGACCGGTAGGAGCTAGCAATACCTGTGAAGGTAGCTGCTCCTGAGCACTCTGTGCTGTGATTCTTTTGAATCGTTTGGTCCCTTAGGAACGGAGACCGTAAGCTCTCTGAGCTTGTTGACTCTCTGAGTCGGGTTCGTAGAACCAAAGTTGCTCGTAAGAGCGTTAAGTCTTCCTCTGACTTAAGGAGCTGTGTAGCTCCGCTACACTTGGTAGCACTAGTAGTCAATATACGCCTGAATCGGTAACGACTGATCCTCTGTGACGATGGAGCAATCGACACCCCTCTCTGAGGCCCAAAAGGCCGCGCTTGAGAAGCTCACCGCGGCCGTAAGCCCAGAGTATGTGGAGTTTCTAGCTGCACAAGGTCCCGATGTGCTCAATGCACGAGTTGAGACCTTCATGCAGTACGAACAGGCTCTTTTAGGGCAGGTTCAAAACCAGGTAGCGTCGGCTATGCCGACACGCTACGTGGCGATGCCACCAGAAGAGGTTAAGCCTCGTCCCCTTCGGGTGGACGTTAAACATTACTTCGGGAAGGAGGGGGAAAACTTTACCCTCTGGATCCGTGAGATTGAGATGGCCATGAGATCTGGCTTGGTCTCAATCGAGCATCAGCGAGTCTCGCTGGCCATCTCAAAGCTCGATGGAAGAGCTAGAGAATGGGATTCGACGTGCGGCACGTCGGTCGACTTGGCGTTTCCCACATGGGATTCGCTCAAGCTAGACCTATTGCGAGTTTTCTCGCCGTCTAACCAGGCGTATCGCGTGCGCTCACGCTTCTTGTCTACCCGTCAGGGTAAGAACGAGTTAGCGGACTATGTCCAGGAGTTGAGAAGTCTGATGGCTGCCATGCAGTCCGACCCTCTCCATGAGACTGTCTACGTGACAGTCTTCATGGAAGGTCTTCGCACTGGCGTTGCCAGGACCGAGGTCTTTCGAGTCCATCCCTCGACTTTTGAGGAGGCTGTGAGCATTGCTCAGAATGCTGAGCATAACTTTAAGTCAGCAAGACTTGGTTGGAATGGGTACAACCCAAGCTATGCGAGGGCAACCTCAGCAAATAGCTCAGCTTACTGTAAGCCCGAACCGATGGATCTCATCAATGCTGAAGATGAAGTTGAAGCTGAGCTTCATGTTGCCGAGCAACGACAGGAGATGAGACGCTGTTACATGTGAGGAAGCACTAAACTCTTGCGTCCCACTTGTCCTTTGCGTAAGCAACGACCGCCTTCTACGGGTCGAAACCCCAGCCTCAACCAAAAATTGGTATGGCACGGGGAAACGTCGACACCCAGTAGGCGCTGGGTGCCCTACTGGGGCAGAACTGAGTTCTGTCACTTCTCTACGGGGTAGAGCAACACAGGGCTTAGCCTCACAGAGCTCCGTGCCAGCAAGAACAGAGCGTGGATACAAGTCTGGCTTGTTAGTCGCCGAGGCGATAGTTAAAGGCTTTAAGAAGCAATGGTCGATATTAATCGATTCTGGGGCGTCATGCAACTATGCTAGACGCCGTACCTTAAGGGGAGTCAGCAATATGCTGAGGCGCTTAAAGCGCACGACGGTAATTCCATCACTGTACGGTTAGCGACGGTTAGTCGCGTTACTGTGCCTAAAGGTCCGTTGAACTTGGGCGTGAAGTTTTTGGACTTTGATAGCACAGAACGCTAACTCGTCCTTGACTTGGATTCGAGATTTGATCTCATCCTAGGCATGGAATGGTTTAAACGTCATGAACCATGAATCGATTGGAGGTATAAGACCTTAGGCGCCACGCGCAATGTT